CTCAACTTCATTGAGCTTCGTGAAGCTCTCGTTGTCGCACTTGGCGCACAGTTATGAGGCAGGTTGTCGCGACAAGGTCGGCGTCTCCTTCACCGGGGCTAAGGGGTCGACGAGCGATTCGCTCGCAGCCATAAACTGGCATCTCGCTCATCTGAAATCGATGAGGGAGGCGTTCGTGCGCGGTCTCATCGGCGACGACGAACGCCCTCAATTTCCTATGAGAGATCGGCGAGTCTCCGAACCCGCGCGACCCTCTCGATAGGACAATCGAAGCTTCGGTGGAAAGAGGTCGCAGACGATGTATGCCGGTAGAATGAGAGCGGCGCCGATTGTCTTATGCCTGCCGCGCTTATTGTGATCCTTTATCCGCTCGTTTATCAATCGCCGCCGTTATTATATGTAACGGAGCGTTTGTATTATTAATCTTAATGTTTTATAAGCCGTTTGAGCGGATCGCACGACATGTGATTTAGGCATTCTTGCTGGACGAATTAATATTACGTTCTTCTTCCCCTACCCGCGCCTTTCACCTCCCCCCCCCCTCCTAGTCCTAAATACGCGCATATATCTTTTTTTATGCCTAATCTTTGGCTTTGTGAGATTTTTAACATCCTTTACTGGCCGGATACTCGAGTCGTATATAGCTTTAGTATTACGTTATCGTTATATGAACATTCTATATATAGAATATGCACGTATTCGCATAACTTGCAGCACACACGCACGCGCACGCACGCACACACGCACGCACGCACGCACGCACACACGCACGCACATGCACAACGATACAGTAGCACAATCTTTTAAAGGTTTGATTATCGAAGTCATTCGATATTGTCCTTCTTATAAAAACTAATCGCGCCCGTTATTGAGCCCAGATAATTGCCTTTTCTCTTATTGTATGAACGATTATACGATATGCCTCGTTATTAAATATGTATTTGATCGGGTCTGATCGAGCTTATTATTATGTCCACATTTTCTGATACTATAATTGCATGAAGAAAGTAAAGAGTAATTGAGAATGGCGAGGTGAAGCAACTTTCTAGAGCACCTACATTTGTACGGGTTATGATGATCGATCGAAACGTGTATTGTTTTATCTACGCTTTCTGTTAGGAGTAAGTTGCGCACGGAAATTGCTTAGACCTTTTTATCAAATAGTGCAAGCTGATTAATTCTGTTGCAACAATTAATTAAATATATTTCATCATTAGGATTTTACAGCCGTGGATGCTAATGAAATTTTAAAGAAAAAGAACAAAAAATTTATTTCTATTTAGTTCCATTCAATTTATATTCAGAAAGTAGGTATTTCTTTATATTATTTCTATGTGTGAGTGTATTTTTTTTCCTTTTTTCGTTTCTTTTTTTTTTTTTTTTACAAGAAAAAGGGTTTTAGCATATGTAATTAAATTTAAAAATAAAAAATTATATTAAAAAAAATACTAATAATTAGCAACAATAATAATACAATTAATAATAATAATAATAATAATAATAATAATAATAATAATAATAATAATAATAGTAATAATTTATAAGCAAATACGAATAATATATATAAAAGTAGAACGATTTACTTTCTTCATTGGTTTAATCACAATTGGCTTACAAAGTCTTGTAGAACCAATTTATAATGATATGTTATAACACTTATTATTGTAATTAAAACTGTTGACTATGGCAAAAAAAAAAAAAGACAAAAATAAAAGACAAATAAAAATTGCGCATAAGAGTAATAGGATATAAAATAAAACAAGTAAGTAAATATAAAAAAAGTAATATCTTTTCAGCGCACTTATGGAATAAGGACATTACGAATCCTCGTATATGCGAGAGTGTAAGATAGAAATGTAAAAGTAAAGAAACAAAGTAAAAATAAATAAAAAATAAAATAAAGAAGAAGAGAGAAAGTAAGGAGGGTGGAAAGATAAGAAAGAAAAAATAAGGAGAGTAAAAATGTCAAACCACTGTGCTTGAACGAGGCCGTGCGCGATTTTCATGTGGATCGATAAATGGTACATGCTTAGGCCAATATACACACAGGCACGCGCGCGCAAACGCACACAAACACGGCTTTTATATGTGCATTGAGACAGCACGAGATGAGCTACCGATAAGAAAAGGCGTGGCACTTTAACTTTACGTATGAGTGCCAGACTATTGAATTTGACAATAATGTAACTGGAGAAGATTTACGATTTTACAGAAATATCCTCGTACATTGGATTTTTCTCGCAAGACAAACTCTTAATCTGCTTGTATTGAAATTGGAAAAATAGGCATTTATTTTTAAGTGATTATTCCAACGTTAATCCGACAATTCGTTATTAGATAATATTTATTTTTGTAAATTTATTTATAAACAATGAATTAATATTTGATACTCAATTTCATTTACAAATATACAAATACCTCATTAATCGGCTAATCTCTAAAATAATGTCAATGGATTTTAATAATTTAATATCAATGAAACAATGTAATGTTTCAATAGGCTAATCCGTAATTATTATATATGCTTCTCTAATGTATAATCGTACAATAAAAATAATTTTCATTCGCAAAAGCCGAAATGCCTCTTTTCAATTATCATCTAAATTTCTAATTATTGCCAAATTTTAATGAAAAGTATGTAATGTAATGAGATCAAAGTTAGATATTTGTTATTGAGTCTCTGGATGCTAAATAAGTATATGCATAATAAAAAAAACTGCTTGTTCGTGACTGACCTTCGACGTTGACTAAAATATTCTTTTAAGTAACTCTCTGACGAGTTGTACGGATTCACGTTTTAACTGCTGCTGAAAAAGAATATTACTTATATGCATCGAGGATATGAATCCTTGAACAGGGACACAATAATTTTTCAAAAATTCAGCCTTCGCGTTCTTAATTAATTCGTTAATTCCACATTCGTATAGATTAATAATATTATCGATGTATTCTAGTAAAATCACTTGAAGTACATTTATATTGAATAATTTTGCCTCGATATTGCTCCAATTATATGTTATTATTATTAAAAAATATAAAACACTCTATATTTAAATCAATTTTTGAATAAACATTTAGTCACAAAATAAACTCAAAAATAGATGTTCCAATTATACAATACTTACATTACAATTAAATACATAGAGATAGTTAGTATTGTTACATTTATTAAATAGATAAAGTTATAAAGTAAATACGTCTAATCATGAGGTGATTAGTGTTATGTAAAATGACGCATACAGTTTTTTTTTTCTGTGTAAATTTGTATATAGTTTGACTCATAGCTAAAATATTTTACAAGTTAAATTTACTCATACATGCACTGCCGAAGACGTAGGTAATCTAGAAGATCGATAGCGAATCTAAATATTATTGCTCTTAAAAAAAATATAAATAAATAATAGAATTTTAAAACATCGCTTTATGTATACGTCGAAAATCGAAAAGAGGTAACTAACGCTAAGGAAATAGTTATTTTAAATAATTTCAATCAAAATCAATAACAAAGAATTTCTTATCTAAACTTTTTGCTAAACTTGAAATCTCGTAGTTTTATAATTAACATCTATAAATAGCAAAAATCCTAACCCAATGTTAATATTTTTATAAACGTCATTATCCTAGTATATTAAAAAATACTAAAATATATTAATATATTTATCGATCGAACAATTTAATATGCATTTTTACTTAAATATACATACATATGCAAATTGCTCTTATTCGTTTTCGTAAATTTCGAAAAATAATTATATTAGCTTATATAAAGATATATAGACAAACGCTATATCTTGATTATTATTCAGACAATTTTTTAAATAATAATCTTGTAGATAAATATTATTTGTTCAAACTCAATTGTGTTATTTAAAAATATGAGATGTGTATGTATAGTTTTAGAATGCGTATACTATTAATTTGTTTAAAAGAAACGTATGTAGTTTTATTAAATTTATTTAAAAAAAAAAAAAAAAAAAAAATTAAAAGGAAAGAAAGCTTACAATTTGTATAACTAAACCATTCGCTTCATTCAGACAAGGTTTGTTTTATTTTTATAAGACAGAATTTCTGAAAAGGTTTTCTTTTTTTTTGAAAATCTTACAAAACATCTGCAAAAAAAAAAAGCAATACATACAAAAAAAAAAAAAAAAAAAAAAAAAAAAAAAATGTATATATAAAGAAAAAAAAAAGTAAAAAGAATCTAAAAAAAAGTTACTGCGATTCAACTGATAAATGAAACGCAGCTTAAAATCATTACAATTTCTTTTAAAACGTTAAAGTTTCTTTCCTCGTATAAAAGGAATATTTATCACAGCTAATCAAACACGTTTTCTTTTATTTCGTTTTATAAACTAGTGCAAAGAATACACGCGCACGCGCACGCGCGCACGCACCCAGAGGCAAATAAAAAAAAAAAAAAACAGACGACTACTTAGTTTTGTTTGACAATCCGAGCCCCGTGTAGTACGTTACCATTTATACAGAAGTGCTAGACGCATGTAGTGAGGTATTTTGCAGGTGTGCACCGCATCATTAAAACCTTGTGCTGTTTAACTCGATAAGCAGTCCCAAAAGATACTAAGAAAAAGTTTCACAACTTTAAGAATTCTACCATTTGCGTTAATGAAATATTATAAATTTAATGATTGTTATTATTATATCAACTATTTTCTGTTTTGTTTTTGTAATCTTTTTGTAATTGATATCAAAAGTTTTGAGTTTTTAAAATAAAGCAACGCAACACAAACAATAACACAGCTGAACATTAAGTAACACACGTAATCATTATTATATCTACAATGTTATTAATAGACTTACAATACTTGGTTACAAAATTTCTACCTATTAAAACTATTTGTCGCTGTCAAATTGTCAAATCGCCACTATTTTTCGAACTATTTACATATTATGCTTATTTATATATTTATTTATATAATTATTAAATTATTAGCTGTTGTGTAATGTGAAATTAACTAGCGTTTAAGTTGATTAAAGTAGTCATGAGTTGAAAAGTGATTTATAACTATAACTAGAAGGACTTGTAGTGTTTCTCTAATTCATTATATAGATTATCCTGGTCCTCGTGAGATTGACGCTCGTCGTAATCTACTGCGTCGTTGGGCTCCAATTGCGGATTATTTGTGGTAATCGATGAGTTTTTCTTGCCCTTGATCTTTTCCGCAACGCACCCCTTAATATTGTCCAGTATGGTTACGGATTCCTGGGCAAGCGTTACTATAGCCTTCCTATTTATACAGAATATCATGGATGCTTCTAACGTTGATATGAGAGATGAAAATCTTTTCAAATCCAAGGCTACAGATGGTGCGTGTTTGGCAATTGCCCAAGATGCTTTCAATCCAGACTGGAAAAATATAGAAAAATCATATCGGTAGTATAAAAAATGAGCAATCGTCGTTATATATATACTTAGTAATTAATTATGTCAGTGTAAATAATGGATAATGGTTTTGTTCCTGGCTTACATGTCTCGTACAAAATAATATAGATGTGGCAATATTGCAAATAAAAGGGACTATTTATCGTATATTATACAAATATTTAATGGTATACATAATATTTAATATTAAATTATTCTATGATTTACTAATTAGATAAATTACAGTTAACGTAAAGTCGAAGACAAAAACAAAAGCGTGAAAAATATAATCAAAATATTCCAAAAAACCGGTCATCAACGAATCATTTTTATTTGTTTAAATAAATAGTAGCGACAATTTTGTTTTTTTTTTTGTTTCTACGACTGGTTAAATTGATTCCAACGTTCTATAAATGTACTTTATGAATATATTTTAGATAAAATTACTCTGTATACTAGACTTCTAAAAGCATAACTTCGATATAAATAATCCAATTTATTAAGCTTGTGTTGATTAATTAAAGTAAGTCTTATAAAAATAATTTGGAAAATTAATTAGATTTTCAAGTATTATCTCATACTACGAAATAAGGCACAATGGGAGGCTTCCTACAATTGCTTAGCATAATAAATAATTTTAATCTTGTAATTTGAATTCGCAAAATAACATGTGCAAGTATTTAAAATAAAAACAGATGCTCCTAATAATTTACTTTATGATAATAATAATAAAAATTTACATAAATTTAAGGATCATTTAAGATTTGGATTATTCATCTAACAATGTATCAATAACATATTTGTGAATAATTACATAATATGTCAATTAATTTTCTTTTAATTCCCGTTACAGATTTACGAATTAATTATTGAATAATACGATAGATATCTATAGCACAATAATTGAATTTATCAATTATTATATCGATCGTTCGAATTAAGCTTACACGTATTAATGACAGATAACAAATTTGCATAATAAAAATTAGATAAACTTGATAAGTAGAGAACAATTATATATGATTTTATGGATTTCTTTAATGTTAAATTCACAAGTAAATTCTACGAGATGTAATCTGTCTTATTATCTGATTTATTAAAAAAATATCTCTTTCATATAATAACTTGACAAACGCTTATTTTATTATTTTTTTTTTTACTTAATTGTTTATGAAATGCAACGGAGCACAATCATATCAGATGTACATTGAAAAATTATTCAGCATTAGCAGCGTGACAAAAAGAAATTTCTTTAAATTAAACTTTCTATATAAATATTCATTTTAGAAATAATATAATAATATATTATAATAATTGCTATAATTAATATTAGATAAATGATACTCGAATGACTTTTATTGAAAATATTTCATAACTCGATTGCATATTCGTTATAAGTCATTTATTTGCTTAAGTCACTCGAATTAATACTTGAACATAAAGGAGATGGAAAATATTTTTGGCCATTCGTAATTGAACAAATGTAACACTCAGCTTATATAAACTCATAATTTTAGAAGGACAGTAAATTATAAAGCATTTAATTACATAATTCTATAGTTCTGACGTAATTTAATGCTCGGATACTTACAATAGTAACACAACCAAATCCATTGACGATTTTTTTACCGTCGACCTGCTTGAAACATTGACTGGCTTGTCCAGTAATTTTCGTGAGGTCGGTGATTGCCGTTTCAATCCTCTGCAAGATGTCGTCCACAAGAGATTTGCCCTCCACGAATTTATCATTTATACACGTAGTTGCATTGATGAATATGGCGAGTAATGTGTGACGAAAGGTTTGCGACATCTTTTTACATTTCGTTACATCGATATTTTTCCCCTCGGCTTCGAGCGTCAGTTTCGTCAATTCATTTTCCAACTATATTACCAAAATTTGTGTTTATACCCATTCGTACATTGCAGATTTAGAAGATTTGTAATTAATAAAATTTTATCTCTAACGATCCACAAAAACTATTTCATACTTAATTTGACTTAAAAAAAAAAAAAAAAAAAAAAAAAAAAAAAAAAATGGAAAAATAAACATAAAAAAATAAATAATAAAAATGGAGTATTAGTTAACAATATAATCTTTAATTAATTCGATAGATTAACATTCATCGATAATACATCGATAATAGCATATAGAAGATATATTTTGTTTCATTAAAGTAATTTGATTTGGCAACTTCTAGTAGAAGTATTTAGAATTTTCATATATAATCCATCTCGAGTAATTCGCACATTTTACACAAAGACTTTTCCAAAGAACTAGAGAGCGCAAATATCTGCAATAAACTCGATGGGCCGTCAGATAATCATACTTAGTGATTTTTAATCTCATTTACTACTGCATTTGTGTGGTACCGACCACACGAATTATTATCGAATGTTATGTCTCGATAAAATTGAGAAAAAAATCTACGCATAATAATAATCATTATCTTTGATACACTAAATTTATGATAAAGTATTTAGAATTGCATATATTAAATAATCTAGAAAGCTGAGCGGTTAATCCCATTTGCAATTATTCTCATTCACGATATCGCTATCATCATAACTACACTTACGATTATTTCTTAAAGCACTTTGTCTACGAGCCGTTTACCAACTTTGTCTACCAACGGGCCTTATTTATCTCTATAAGTCAGCTTCTTAAGTATACTTACGAATTTCAGAGTTTTCTTAATGGACGTGTAGACCTTGTTCGTAATCTCGTTTGCACGATGTTGTAATTTGTTACTCAACTCTATTACCTTATTCTTCTCATTGACCTTTTGCTTTAGAAGGTTCATTGCCTCTTCTAGTTTCGTGCTAGCGAGGTCGGTTACTGGATTGTGAGCCTTAAGGAAGGAAAGCATTTCACATTGCACCTGAGCAATCTGCAAAATATGATTGGTAAATTTATTAAAATTTTCGTTCGCAATAGAGCATACATTTTCAAAAGTCTTATCATAAAAGTCTATGTAGTCTCGTAAATACCTTAAACGATACTTTTAATCTAAGTTTCACAAATTCTTGATGTTTTAACATAATGATTACCTTCTATAAGACTTTTAAAATATATTTAATATATTATTCTATTAAAAAAAAAAAAAAAAAACTATTAAAGCTACCACTAAATTAATTGAAATATTTAAATATATTTAATTAATTAAATATAATGGTTATAATAATATAAATCTAGCGTTACCATACATATTAACCACTATAATATTCTTGTATTAATTTGAAAAGCGTAATTTCATTTTATCGCAGTAATACTTATTACTAAATAATAAAAAATAACTGTTCACATAAACTTGCATATTTTTCAGTGTATTGCAACTAAAATACAATATTGAGCTAACTTTGCAAAAAAAAAAAAAAAAAAAAAAAAAAAAAAATTATATATATAAAATCATAGATAATAATAACATTTTTCGTAATTGAAAGTATTTTTTATTTTTTTTATTAATTTTATATTATTAACAAAATCAAAAAGTTATTTTTCACTTTAGAAGTTAATAATGATTTAACTATATTTTTGTACTTACAAGAGTGAACTGGAAAACGCTTGAGATAATATTAAATTTCATGATGTTTTAAAATATGTGAACATTTTTTTTTTTATATAATTCCAAACTTCTTAAAAACTGCAAACAATCTTTAAGAGGTGAAGAAAGATGACGAATAAATTCATTTAGCTTGCAATTTGTTTATAAAATGGTTTCATCAATTCATTAAGTTTAAACTGCCATTCGCGGTAATAAAATTTTATTCGCCGTTAGAATATGGTAATAAAAATATATGCAGTAATTACAACAGTAATTTTTTTACTTTGAATTCTAGTATTTTTGCTGCAATTAATGAAAATCTGAATATTATAGTTTTTATCACATTATTATTTCAAAATATAAGCTCCTTCGTTCATTGCAGAAAGACGTGCGTTAATAAAGGATAATAATGAATAAATTATTCATCCCGTAAGTATTATATTATATAAGAACGCAATCTATTTAATCAATAATACGTGAAAATTTTAATTTTAATTTTTTTTTTTTTTTTTTTTTTATTATTTTTTTTTATTTGCATCTAGAATATTATCTATCCATTTACCCACGAATATATTCAATATACATGCCTTTTGATATCTTAAAAAAGTATTTTTCATTTCAGTAATACAATTTTTTATGATATTCTTTAGATGTAAATAAACTGTTTTGTAGAAAATTTTATTGCGAAGGAAGTGTAAGAAAAATTGCATTTTTTATTGCTTTTAGGCCGCACATATGCGAAAAAATGTAATCTTAAAAATTGGCATGTACATAGGAAATTTATACGATTTTTTATTTTTATGTAAATTTAATGTAATAATTTATGGATTTATTAAACGTGAAATATTAAAATATTCATTTTTTTTTTATTTTTCATTTATGTATTAAATCATTAATAGAATGTCATTTAAATGATACTTAAGCTTCATTTATAATGGATATCGTTCACTAGTGAATCGACTACTATTTTTATTCATTTCAACGAAGACGATAATTAAACTTATACATTAGACGATGTGGAGAAAGAAAGGAATTTTTTCATCAAGATATTCGTAGACTTTGTTGAAAATTTGAAAATGTGTAATAAATCATTTTAGTAATTATTATTACTGAGGAGATGTATAGATAGAAAATGCCTGGAATTACGTATTTTCATGAATAAAATTTTCGAAATAGCTTTTACGAAATACGTAAAGAATTTTATTTAGTTTCACATAAATTTAATTGAATAGACGTATAATACGTATGAAAATTGTCGAGTTATAAACACATTATTTTTTATTAATTTATTTCCACTCACCGATTAATTTAATACTAATTAATATGTTTTTCAACAAAAGTTTCCTATTATTTCATTAAAAACGTGTTAAATTAGATTTATTTATATACATTAGATTTATCAAGGTATTGTCTCACCTGAGACTGGTCACACTGGTGAGAATATTAAAAAAATTAATCGATTATTTAATTACATTTATTTTATTTATTTATTTATTTATTTATTTATTTATTTTTTTAAAATAATCCATTAATTAAATAGGAATAATTTGGCTGTACTCACATAAAAAAGCGCAAAAACGCCTAAGACAATATTCTGTTTCATGATTCCCCAACAATTAAACGAATTTTAATCCAATGATATCGTGATACAAGCTTATATCTAAGATCTGAGCTCCCAAAGTAATGTAAACTTGATTACAAGTATTATCAACAAGGGTTTTACAGCTGTGTCAATTAATAAGAAGATTTTTTAAATTTGAGTCATATTTGATTGTTTCTTTTCATGTATAATTATAATCAGCCTTATCATTACTATTGTTTTCACCATAATTTTTTTTATTGTGTTAAAAAAATTTTAATTTTTAAATTTTCCGGTTAAGTTTTGATTAATTAATGATAATTCTAATAAACAAAAACTTTTTTGCTTGAAATAAATCTTATTAAAGAAAATTAGAAAAATGTTATTAAAGTTCGGTATATAATTAATTTATAATGTAAATCAAATGAAGAAAAAACATAAATACAAATTTCACGAATAAAGTTAATAAACAAGATAAAAAAAAAAAAATTAAAAAAAAAAAAATTATAAAATAAATTATTTATAATATGCAATTGTTTAATCGACAATAACAATTAGTAGGCAATATAGCCCTTTTACTTTATAAATGATTATGTGAAATAATTATTAAACGATGTAAATAAATCAGCATAATGAATAATCTATGATAAAAGTTTCTCACGATTGCTATTTTACCAAATAAGAAACGTTTCTAAGAATTATCAGATAATTTAAAATTATTTTTAAATAAAGAGAAATTAATTGAACGAATTTCGTTCGAATCTTGTAATATATAATATTGCAATAACAATTTGTCTTTATTAATGAAATGGAGAATTACAGGAATTGGAGTTAATATATTTTACAAATCACAAATATTACAGACTATAACTAGCAGCAATCATCTTTCGCAAGACCGTGAAAATTTTTAATTCGCTTCTCATATACAAAATAAGTTTGCAAATTTACGGCTCAAATATTATAAGAACGAATATAATTTAATTTCCAGGAAGCTGATAGAAATTAGGCATTTGCATAAAGAAAGATATAAACAGTTTTGTTGAAGTACAAATTAAATAGTTGTATAATCTCGATTTTCCATCCACTAATTACTTTCGGTTCATTCTATCATTTTAACGACTATTCGAATACGAATGTGACGTAAAGAAAAATTGCTCTTTGAAAAATATATAATAAATTTTTGTTATCGTCGACAAATCCTTAAGCATACGATGTTAAGTAAGTAAAAATATTAAGTATTCCGAAAATCTTAAGAAAGCCTAGGCTTTGCCATATCAACTAAATTGGCTATGCAATTAAACCATAAGAATACTTTGTCTCTTTTAAACTTAATACATAAAGTAAAATTTTAATAAGAGCTCAGTTATTACCTCTTTCTATTTCTATTTGATAACTTTTACAAATTGTTTGATAGTGCAAATATTCTTGTCAAATACCTTTCTTGCATTATAAAGATAAATTCAAACTCATAAACGAACAATTGCAATTTTATTGATATTTCTCTTATGTCATAGTAGATTTACAAATAATTTACAAATATACATACGCACGCACACGCACACGCACATATATCCATATTTGAAAATTTAATATCTAATTAATACGTGAGCGCGCGCACGTCCATGTGTTATAAGAAATACGTAAAAATTATGTTATATTTAATTCAATTTGCATTGGTAGTTATTTTAGAAATTATAAAAATTTTAAGACTATTACTCATTTATAAATTCTTTCTCATAAGTAATTGCTTTAGTATGATATTAGAATCCTAAGTCAAGCGTAAATTAAATAAAATAAAAATTAAATGATAATTTTGTTTTCGAAAGATTTAGATCGAAGTTTTTATAAATAGAAGCTTAATTTAATTTTGAAAACTTCCCTCTGTCCCTTCCCTCCTAATACATATGTGTTTGAGAAGCAAAATCTTGAAAAAATTTTTTTTTGTTTTTAAAGCCGGTCATTGACTACCGCTGATAAATATCCGTAAAACATTATTAAACTTTTCAAGCGTTAATTGTCGTGAATTAAAAATATTCAGGTATGAACAATATGAATTTGTTGTTATTTAATTAGCATAATTATTCATGGTTTGTCCGTTTGAAAATTTATTTCCAGACTGCTAAGCAGAATACGCGTAATTACAAATTGGCATTAATTATATTGCCTGAGGTACATTACCTTCTATTTACACAACTCATTTTTCCAATAATATTCGATTTTTCATTTCGTGTGACCATTCTGTCTCTCTCTCTCTCTCTCTCTCTCTCTCTCTCTTACTCTCGTCTTGGTTTCGCAAATATTACAAACAGAAATAAAAAACAAAAATATAAAATAAGGATGATGATTCGGCGACGAGGAAAGTATTTTATCCATCAGCATTAAACGGAGCTTGTTGGGGAGGGGGAGAAAAATGAAAATCCTCGTCGCTAAGGAATGAGTATGGAAAGTGAAATAAGGCGACGATCTATTAGAAGCGTATTGACCTCGGCAAAACTCATTATTACAGGCGGTACGCAAGCAAGTGGTTTTTTTTTGGCGCAAGTAACGGATCGGTCTCGACCTCCAATACCAACACACTCGCACATGTATTAATGCGATGACAACATTGTTGAAGTTCACCCCTATAGCAACGTTCCCATAGAAGCGCTCCAGCAATGGGGTGTCGTGGGAACGGTCTCGCTCGATATAAAGCACCGTACTCGCTTTTTCGTTTTTTTTTCTTCCGTTTGCTCCCTCCCCCTCCCCTCACGCCATCTCATTCTCTCAAGCACGGGGCGCCAGGACTTATATCAAAGTATTCAAAAATTCCTTTGCAGCGATTCGAATCCGATCCTTTTCTTCTCTCTCTCTCTCTCTCTCTCTCTCTCATTCTTTCTTTCGGTAGAGGAGAGCTGTGGGGAGACAAGGGAGTTTGGTGGTAAAGTGCAATCACGATGGCCATTCCGTGACGCTATTATGATATTGGAATATACGTTTGTAATGAAGAGCGTGAGACGCAAAATTGATTCGACGATTTAATTGCCAGCCTCTCCACCTTTTTCTTTTTCTTTTTCATTCTCATTTTTTACTTTTTTTAGTACGCGAGTCTTTAGTTTAGAGCATTCGGAAATATAGCGTTATAATGACGGAGGACAAGATTACGATTGTGCTTGTCCCTCGAAGACATCGTTCGTTCCGGAAACGTTTCTCTCGCGTTGCACGTACATGTACACGGATACGCGCTCGTCGAAAGGAACTTTTTGTAAAAGGAAAAATTATTCGATCGCGACAGAAATAGCACGCCTTTTCAAATTCAAAATTATTAGTTTTGTCGTTCTTTTTTCTTCTTTTTTCCTGTTTGTTATCGTTTTCTTTTCCCGTTCTTATCGTTCTATTTCTTTTTCAGGAATGAAATGATCGATTGATTTAATACGACATTAAAGACGAGGAGGCAGCGTAATGCATCAAATTTTTATGCAATACATTCCGTCCCACGGAAATGCTGTTCAATAAAACTTTAATATAAACATTGTTGCACATTCAATCGATACAATCGAGCGCACATTTGTAAATGTGTGTACACACACATGTGTGCGTGTGCTTTTTTTTTGTTCTTTTTGTTTGTTTTTTTTGTTTTTTTTTTTTTTTTTCATCAACCACAAACATAAATGAGTCGATGCACACATTCTAATATCCTCATTGCATACAATTATTAAATAACCAACGACAATATTTTTGTTGTTGTTGCGAATTGATATTCTCTATGCTTGTGCAACATGTTATCGAATGATTATTGTAATTATCGAACTGATATTTCCATAGATGAAAGTACAGTGCGAATGCGCTCATTTAAACAAATAAATCTGTTCCCTTTTCTAAATAAGTTATGTTAATAATTAAGTTTATAAATATATCAGATTATCAGATTAATGAATCCTATGTGATTTAAAAAGAATTTTAATATCGTGACGTATGTGATTTTCGATAGAAAAATGTTGCTTACTATATCGTAGAGATTATTTTCATATTATTTATATATTATTTTTCATTGCAGATTTTGAACACAACATTTTAACAGGAAAATTGACTCTTAAGAGCCTCTCGAAGAAAGTCTTTGGTAAGTCTTGACTTCCTATTCTCACTTATCGAATTATCGCCGAAATAATTTTAAAGAATGTTTAATATTGAAATAACGATTAAAATCGCCAATTATAAAGCATTAAATGCATAACAAATAATCTTTATCAGCTTGTCTAATTATTAATAATAAATATCAATTGTAAATGCCGTTATGATAATCGTATAATTTATGAATTATTCAGAATCAACATTGCACAGTCATAAGAGTATGAAAGACACGGAACAAAATATAATTAAAAAAACATTTCGTTATTATCGCTACGATATTGCAAAGATTAATTGACTGTAATTTCCGAAAAGTCTTACAAATTGCTTCTTACATTGACGAATTTCAAATTGAAAATATTAGCTTTTGTGAACAATGAACGAAAAAGTTATCATGAATTTTATGTGAAATATAAATTACAACCTTGAAAGCACTTTACTTTTATTTTCTTAAGTGTATTAATAATAAAGCATTATTGTTATTATAAAATTCGTATAATTGGACATTTTTTTTTTTTTTTTTTTTTTTTTTAATTCATCGGCGCGTCATCAGTATACATTGGAAATAAAATATTACTTAAGTCTACAGGTCGTTCGGCGTTTATTGATATATAGTTATGTGCGCAAAAAGAAATTGTACAAATATAACAATTACGTTCAACGCTATTCAAGTAGCACTTGAATCGAGCCTTTACGACTCGAGCCGCAAGGTATTACGACAATGGAGTGGAGTAACTCCTCCTTTATCATTAGATCGGCGGGCCCGTAAGAAAATACGCAGCTCGCGTCTCGCACCAATTACAAACGATTTTCGATTTTCGAATTGAAGCGAAAAAATTGCCTATTGAATTGACGAAATGGATGCTCACGGATAAATTGCCGTGCGTCTGCTTTAGGTGGACCTCGGCTCCGCACACAGCCGCAAAATTGTTGCAAATAATCTGCCAATCGATGATTCGCGTTATGGTAAGGTTCGCGCGACTGGCCCCGAATTAAAAAGGGCAGTTAGACGATTAGCGCAATCGCCGTCCCGATTGGTGGTAATTAGCGGGGGAGGAATTTGAGTGGAATCGTCGTAGTTAGCGAATAACGGAAGTAGGAAAGTGCGTTGGACGCTGCATGACGAGTGGTACGATGGGGAATCGCCGGTAGCATCCGCAAATGACGGAACGTGGCGACGGTCGGTAATGGTGTCGACGTCGTGCGGTCTTTGTTTGTTCGTGAAGAAGGAGCAGGAGGAGGAGGAGGAGGAGGAGGAGGAGGAAAGCCAGCCGAGCTAACGCAGCTTGTGCTTTTCATCCTCGCATCTCGGTGTGCTTTACTTTCTCCCTCTCTCTCTCTCTCTCACTATACCTCCTCGTTGCTCGCTCGTTTCTTTCTTCGTCGTCTAAGGGAGCAAGAGAGCGAGAGTGAGAGCGAGAACGAGAAGGGTCACCGGGCCTCCTGCGGTCCCTTAGCAGATGTACCGCCGCAACTACGGCGGGCATTGAGCGCCCGGCAGCTGCACGCCTTTCCCCACTCTTTCTTCTCTCGACCTTATACACGTCCTCCCTACCACCCTTGATACTACCGACCTCCCACTCTCTCGACTCCTGTCGCCGAGCGTATCCTCCGCATCTTTACCCTCGGTCCTCGTCGCCTCTTTCGCGCGACTTTTTTTCTCCCGACAAAGAAATATTTTTCTCGAGTCGCGGATATTCTTTGTTTGGTTGGGAATGTGATGTTACATATTGGAATTTACTTACTCAGATTTTTTAACAATTTTCTCCGTACCGGGGGTAGGTGGCTTTGTGGTTGTGCTGTGTGGCGGTGGGGGTGGGGGGAGCATCCTTAAGGCGGAGGGTTGCTCGGTTGCTCGAAGGTCCTTCGGTAAATGTGAACGGCGGTGGTGCGATTGGGGTAGGGTGGGGCGATGGCGAGGGGCCGGCGGAAGGAGGATACCAGGAGGGCCGGCGGGGCCCGAAGTAGGGCGCGTGTAATGAGGTAACGGGGCCCGTGGTCGGGCTCGCACGGCCCTGAAGGTGAGCGTCAAGCTCCTGCGCTCGCCTCGACGACTCGAGGAGTCTCGAGTCTCGAGCGCACGGGGCCCGCCGCAGTCGGATCGCGAATCGGGTTCGGGGCCTAACTCAATCATCGCGCTCGGTTAATCGGGGGAGCTCGCGCTCCTTAATCGCGCTGTCATTTGCGCGCACTACTGGCCTCGCGAATCTATCGGTGCAAAAGGAACGGGAGGAAGAAAGGAAGAAAGGAAGAAAGGAAAGAAAGAAGAAAGGAAAGAAGAAAGGAAGTAAGGAAGTAAGGAAGTAAGGAAGGAAGGAAGGAAGGAAGGAAGGAAGGAAGGAAGGAAGGAACGAAGCGGCAGGAAAGGGAGAGAGAGCGAGCAAGCAACAACGAACGTGCGAGCAACGCGGGGAGCGGGGGTGGGCCGGACTCGTAGCCACCGAGGACCGCCGCCAGATGGCAACGGATTGCACGGCGCAACCGCTGCTCGCTACCTGACTGACTGGCACAGCCAGGCATTTTGAAATCGGGGTGCGCGCGCAGTTGCCGACGAGCGCCCGGATAAGCGACGCTCGCGCCCTGGCCGAGAAACGGACGGCCGTGCGTTCTCGCTCGAGCGTAACCGTTCTCTAACGGAAAAACGTGGGAACGACCGTTCCCTCGGAGCATCGGGAACCGCCGCTGCCGCTACTGCCAATGCCACTCTAACAGCTACGGCTAGTGCAGCTCACAGTCGTCTCTGTCCCTCCAATTGCCGCGCGCAGCTCGTTTCATTCAAAAAGTGCAAAGCGCCTTAACGGCCGCACGCACGCGCGCGCGCGCTCTGCGGGATTATAAGCAAACGAGAAAAATAGACAGAGAGAGAGAGAGAGAGTGAGAGAAGGAGCGAGAGGACAAGGAGGTGGTAGTGGAGGACCGAAGGCCCTTGACGATCAAGCTCATTCCCTACCTGCCGAAGGAGCTGTCGGTCGTCCAGCTATCGCGACCTCCCCACTGTCGCCGGCCGTCTGACGTCAGCCCGAGAAGCACAGGCGGCGACGGGGCGACGGAGATAGAGCGAGTGAACAAGAGACCGACGTGGACGGCAAGGAGGGAAGGAGGGAGGACGAGGCAGAGCGGTGTCGTCGCGAGTGCGCTGCCGTAGTTAGTTGCGTGACCAGTTCTTCCAAAGGCATCGGTCGCTAGGAAGCGGAGTTCCGCTGCCGGCCGGTTTCTCGCGAGTCTCCTACCACCCTCCTCTACCCGACGATGGACGACTTCAGGGCGATCGACTCACGGCCCAGCCAGGCCCAGCGGCAGTGCAACCCAGCCGGTGCTCGATAACGAGCCCGCGCTCCCACCTCCAAGGAGCCAAGAGACGGACCGCGACTACGACCACAACCACCGCAACTACCACCGCAACTACCACGACGATAAACTACTACTGCGCGTGCTGATAACGTTGAACCCACC